ACTGGTGATAAAGCTTCCAGGCTCTGCTATGAATTCCAGGTCTTTTGAGTCATGATGTTTCACTGGAATGTTTAAAAATAAGCAGCACATCAGAGAATTGCACTAGTGACACTCAAGATAGAGAAAATGAGAGTTCAAAATTCCGGTTGTTTAAAAATCAGTTAAGATTCCCATTTATGAACATGTTAACAATCTGTAGCTGATTGCTACATGCAGTTGTGTCATTTAATGGCTTATTAAAGACATCTTGTAAAACACAGTGGCAAAAATTTATGTGGGGATGAAGTTGGTGTATAACAACCTGTTAGAAGGCTCATTCAACCATGAAGACGTAAAACCAAGGTCAGCTTAGATGTTCTGGATTTATTTTACATGGCAAGGAACCATGGGTGCAGAGGGAAGGATGCCGGAGGCAGAGTAGAGGGGGCTAGCAGCAGGGAGCTGCGTGAAGCCTTCATGCAGAAACTGTTTCACCAGGAACCGTAAGGAAGAAAAGCAGTCGCCACATCTAGCAAGCCCATCCAAGACATTAGTGACTGTGAACAGTGAGAGGAGATTTGGTAGGTTACAGCTCTTTAGTAACTGTGATTATTTGGGGTCAGGGTAAGTGCAGAGGGCAGTTTCACCCGACAATGTCTCCTGTGCCCAAGACACTGTAATAAATACAAAGGGGTTATAGTAGTACTAAATTTAAATGGCTCTTCACTGAGGCTGTTAGGCTTGGACTGTGTGCTCCCTACCACACCACCAGGTCTGTGAGCTGCCTTGGACCAAGCAGCCATGAAAGGAACTGTTGGCCTCAGTCTTCTTCTCTGCAGTGATTCCTCATTAGGTTTGCAGTGCTGGGGATGAATATTACCAGAATTCAAGGGGTGGCAGGAACAATTCAGAACAGGCAGAGCCACCACCAAAAATAAGGGACAAGCTGCAGGAGATTGGGAAGAAGCAAGTCTGACTGTGGGCTATAGGTTAGCTGGGTGACCAATGAGAGCTCTTGAACATCCATCTTTGAGGGATGTCTGACTACAGCAATATACCTCAGACTGAGAATTGAACTACAAAAGGATGGTGAATCGTTTAGTCTAGCAAAAGTTGGATCCTTGACTCACTGAAACATCTAAGAAGACAGTGCCCCTAGCTCTCCTTCTTTCAGAGATGAGACAATGGTATTTTAATAAATCTTGGCAGAAACTCTGTTCTCTATTCTTCATACTCCTTTACATGATGCACTATGCTACTCCCAAAATAGTGTCCCAGTCCCTTGAAGTAGTACACTCAGTATTGTCAGGTAGAGTGGATATTTGTAAAAGGTCCTAAGAGAACTAGCTAAACCAGTAACACAAAAGAAGTCTGTGCTTCCGAACCAGCAACAATTTCTCCTAAGCAATTCGGAATATGGAAGTAAAACAAACTGAGCAGTCATTGAAATTCCTGGATGAAATGAGATTGACTAAAAACAGGGTTTAATAGACTTGGGATATTGATAGTTGCTGGCAGTTAAGAATTTGTATGAACCCCACAGTTTCAGGGTCAAGGTAGCCCCTAGGCTTGGGCAAGCTAAATATTTACGCCTAGGGTATTATAACTTTAAATGGTTCAAAGAAGGAGCAAAATTCTTTGGCTAGAGTTCTAATGCTGTGCCTCAGTCCTGTCCTGGGAACTGTGATTCCTGTGCAACACCTGCCCTGATTAAGATAGTGTGTATGAGAACCTCATCACTGTTCTCTGCTAATTATCAAGGTAAATGATTCAATGTAAGGCCAGATCTTTACATAGTATAACTCAGTCTCAATCTCATTTGGAGCTAGACTGAATTATATAAACTGGCCCACCGAGTCTCAATTCCCTCATTTGATGATTGTCAAAAGAAAATGGTAAATAAATAAAACCTTAAATAAAATTGTTATGTTCACAGAAACTTGTTGGAAGTTACCATTATTTATTCATACAGAACTAGAAGGCTTAGAATCCGAGCTCAAAAGACTAATGGGTTTTTTAAAGGCTGGCTGAATACCTGAATTTTCAGGCTCATTTTTTGGCATGCATCAGTCATTTCAGTTTGAGTCAAGTTTAACCTACAGTCTATGCCCACTGCACATTAGGTTCAAGCACTTTTCTGAGGTCTTGAAACAGGAAGCAGAGGGACTTGCTGGTAATTCTGCTTTATTATTGAAATTGGCAGAGCGGATCCAGTTTGGAGGATAAAATCCCTTTGAAAACCTTAATACCTTAAGCCTTCCCTCTGGGATGCCATTGGGATTTGTTTATCAGGGATACATTGATCTTGATTTCACTCAGCAGACCCACCAATGTCAGGTGAAATGCTTAGCTACAGCCCATCAACAATCCCACACTTAATCTAACAATGTGTGTAGTGCTTTGTGTGCATCCAACTCCAGATAACTCTTTGCTGGCAAAAAGCAATTTCTTATGAGGGTATTTCTGTGGGTATGATACCTCATTCCAGGGGGGAACAATATCACAGCCCCGTGAACCACTAGATACTGATGGTTTTAAGGTCAATGGGGTTATTGCTCTTTCTACAGCCAGTTTTTCTAGAACATAGGTGCAGTGGCTATCATTATGCTGCTGAATGTGGCCATAGGGCCCTAGTGGCCCATTAAGACTGGAGGCCTAATAATATTTGGGTTTACTGCTCTCACAAATTGAAAGGACTGTATAAAGCTACGCCTACCCCGCTAAATCGGAATTGTTTTCTAGGCCCATTCTGCCAGCTTAGAATCATTCTAATTTGTGAATCAGCTCCAAATGGAGGAATAATGCTTGAGGTTACACAGAATTGCAAAATTCAGTAGCAGGCTCTGAATCTCAGGAGGTGTGCATCTGCTGTCTTGGTTTGACTTGTTATAGATATAGGGCCAAGCTGGGGTGCAGAGTTGGGGGTGGTCGGGAGTGGCTCCGAGCTCCTGGAAGGGGCAGGGCTTGGCAGGAAGCCCTGAGCACCCCCAGAGTGTGCCAGGTCCCCCAACTCCAGCCATCCCTGAGCATCACCTGGAGCATAACTCCTGAGACTCTGGCGGCGATTTCAAGAGGTTAGTGACTTGTTATAGATATAGGGCCAAGCTGGGGTGCAGAGTTGGGGGTGGTCGGGAGTGGCTCCGAGCTCCTGGAAGGGGCAGGGCTTGGCAGGAAGCCCTGAGCACCCCCAGAGTGTGCCAGGTCCCCCAACTCCAGCCATCCCTGAGCATCACCTGGAGCATAACTCCTGAGACTCTGGCGGCGATTTCAAGAGGTTAGGCC